TAAAGTTTTCTTTTCGGCTGTCTTGTCCTTTCTATTTCTTTTTAGGACATTTGATTTATTTTACAATTCTACTATGCATTATCCTCTAATTTCAGACTACTGTAATTTCATTTTTTCCAAGTGCCCTGTCAGGTATCCAGTGGGAATCTGGCTGAGAGGCTGTTAATCCACTCACTTTATCAAACCTGGGTGTAACAAAAACATGGGCATGTATCTGGGGAGGCAGTCTTGCAAAAGCTTTGTACCAACAAGCTACTTACCCCCCCTCCTATATTCAGTGTCATTCCAGAGAGATGTCACATGACTGAGCAGGTCCTCAGATCCTCTTTAAAAACAAGAACATGAAAATACTTTAATCATTTCAATTTCCCTGCTTGCACTTTTTTCAAGATTATTTTCTTTTGTAAAGACAAAGGCAATATTTCAGAAAAAATAAACCAAAGCAAGAGAACACCTTTACAGAAATTTAAACTATGGCTTATGTAGCTTTGGGCTTCCATGAAGTGAATTTAGAGCTTTGAAGACATCCAGCCTGATCTCTAGCTTTCTTAAGTGAAAATGAAGATCTTAAAAATGGCACAATCTCTAACAGCTTTGAAAAAAGGCTGATAAAATGAAAAAAGTTAAGAATCGAAGCACTGTGGGTAAAACAAACTGCATGACTTGAGGAAAGGTGTTTCTACTGAGATGTTTCATTTCATAACAGATTGGAAAAGCCAAAACAGAATCTTTAGTTTTATGAAAGCATTTGTTCAAGAAGTAGATCTACACAGAACATTCAGAGGGGAAAAATTAGTGTTCAGAAAGAATTAATCTTTAAATATATTTAATCAGTAGTCACTTTCAGTCTTGTAGATCTATGGGAGAGAACTGTCACATGTGTCTCATGAGTTGAATTCCCTAGTCACAATTCACATGACTTAACATGCTCTAAGGACACTTCCTGAATGTCTGCACTAGCAATTACTAACAGTGTACTCAGCTACAAATGATTACACCCTCTTCCTTCATCAGATGACTCCTCTGGTCTCTAAAATATGGTTCATGTGAAAGCTAAGTTTAATTTCTCATTTATTTCAGAAGTTCTGATTTCTTAGAATTTCCAAAATGAGAAAAAAGTTAAGCTCCCTAAGAGAATAATTGAGATATTGTATAGTTTCTTTCTTCAAATTGCAGACCAACAAAGATTTCCTAACAAAAGAATCCAGCTTATTGAAGAAAGACAGCAAAGATGGTTTAATTGATGCATTAGCAATTTCAATAGTCCTGCTTTTCAGGCTACACCATTATGAAAAATAAATTTTATCCTACTGCATTTTAGAAAGGAAAATATTCATACTCTGCTGATCATCAAATACAACAAGGACATTTGAAATCATAATTCAATTTGCTGTGACTGGATGCAGCTCCACCAACCTCAGCAGGTTAATTATTTCACTGATATTTCCTCACAGACCTACATTCACCACAAAAACAAACAGCTGTTTACCATTAACAAGACTCAATTTGACAAGTGGTTTTATTATTTTTTAATTATTCACTTTGATCTTTCACATATTTTAGTCATCATTTTCAATTACAATGAAGTTATACTTGACAAGAATCTCCTTTCGGAAAACATTCTGGAAAAACAACATTTCCTTCAGGCCACTGATGCTCATGGTGCTTCTCAAGCTGCCCCATCAGGTTGGGTGATGTAACAAACTATGCCTATGGTCACGTTGTTGGCTTGATAGATTGAAATTCAAAAATCAGTCTATTTCTGTTTGCACAAGCAGTGCAAGTTTTCACTGTCAATGATCCATGTAACATGAATTTGGAAGGGCATTCTGAAGCTTCTGACTTGATACTTCAATGGGTCTGCTCATTGCACAGTTAATAAGGTTTAAACCTTTGCAGAATAAGGTATTTCTATTGCAAACATTCCCAGCCTTCCCCTTTTTCAGTTCTGCTAACTGCATGCCTACCTGAACACATAGTTAGGCTGAAATTTTAAAACAATGTAAGTAACTGAATCAAATCCTCTTTTGCACAGTTTTAGCCAGCCAGCTCCCTAAAGCACAAAGCAGGATCCCCAAACTGACACCATCAGTAGAACGTTGCTTAGTTACTCCAATGAAAAAAGCTACTTGAGTTAAGATCAAAGCCTAATTACAACATCTGCATCACAGCACTAAGTTGATCTCATTATAAACAGGATGAGTTTGTAATTCTTACACCAGGAAAAATTGAAGGAAAAGAACACTCCCTTATTTGGAAAAAGAAATCCCCATTGCAATTTTTCAAATACATTGCTACAGTTCTTGCAAAAGAACAGGGGTGACCCTTGGTACCACCTGAACACTGACATAAATTCAAAGCACTTGCAAACTTCAAGCCTTAAAATCATCAATGTCTTCAAGTTATTCATGCAGGCAGTAGCTCATTTGTTCTTGGGAACATCCTTCTCCAGGGTCAGCTTCACCCTCTTGAATGCCAGAAAAAAAACCCACACAGAATTCATGTAATTCCCAATGCCTTAAATACATTTTCTATATCCACTGACAATGTTGATTTACAAACCTAATTGTTTCCGTTTCTTTGGTAGCTAAGAAATTCAATTTCCACAACAATATCTAGAGTAACAGGGAATTAATTTTAAGCAATATAACCCAGGTAATGAGGAACTTTGAAAGAGAAGAAATGGGAAAAAAGACCTTAAAAATGAATGATGAAGCAGCATGAGCAATAATTGAACCTTTTCCATTCAGGCCCACTCTAAGGGATTTTATAACACACCTAGGAACCTAGAAATATGACTCAGTCATTATTTCTGTGTGAATTTTCAATCTCATCCTGTTAGAAGAAAAAAAAAAAGAAACATCTTCCAACTTCCAAAGTCAGAAGCTAAGGAAATCAGTCAATGAAAATTCTTGCTATGGTTTTCTTCCATTTTTGTTCATGACAGTATTTCGGTGACATTACTTAAACATCAGCAACTGAAAGTCAGTAAAGTTTTCTGAGGTATGGAACTCTTCTAACATAGAAATCATTCCTATTCCCTTTGTCAAGTTGTAATACTCTCGTATCAGTAAGATCAGTCATCAAAGATTGGAGTGGGAAGTACAAAAAACAACTCATTCCAGTAGCCTTAAATATCTTAAAACCTTCATAGACAAGGCATCTTAAATACAGAAATGCAAAAACCCAGACAATGAAGCAAAAATTCCTACAAGTTCAGAATAATTGATGTAATTAAGAGATGATGACAAGGGAAGACATGTCAATATTTGGGCATGACTATGATCCAAGATATTTGTTTTAGCAAAGAGGAATGCTGAAGGCATAGGACCCTTCCCAAAGGCAGAGACTAAAATTATTGTGCTCCTCACAGACAATTCCTCAATTGGATTGACTGTCTCTCCAGTTTCAAAAATACCTCTCCAGCTAAAGTCTAAGAGATGTGCATAAATATGGATAAACCACACAGCTATTCTGATATATAACAGCTCAAAAATATCTGTAGAATTACTTCACATTCCCAAAAGGAATACATGCATCCCTGTAAAGACAGAAAAAGTGCAGGTTTCAGTTCTAAGAACACCTGCTTTCCTTTCATAGTCTCTTTCCTACTTTTTACTACCCTGATGGAACCCATCCAAGGTTCCCTAGTCACAAGTCGCTGACCTTCTTTTTGCACTCTTAGTCCCTTTCTACTTTGTCATTTGCTCCTCTCAAAGCACATAGATAATTTCTATAAATATTGTAGCATATTTGATGCTTTAAAGACAATTTCTTTAGCAGAAAAAACAAGTACATTGCACTTAATTGAGAACACAATGGTTTAACTGACAGAATTCAAGACTTACCACTGCATGGGCTATAACTGTATGAAAGTACTGCTGCTAAGGTGAAGTCAGATTTTGCCAACTTCATCAGCATTTCTCAGATAATACCAAGACCTCAAATGTCTCAGAAAATTGAAGGTGTTCATATACCTCTCCACAGAAAGAGAACTAGCTAATAGGTAAAGAATAGTTCCATCCATTTTAATCAAAATTATAATCTAGATGCAACTGCTAACTATGACCTTTCCATAACAAAATTCATTCCCAGTGAAGAAATATCACCATCATGCTTTCTTTGCTCTCCCTCACCCTTTGTATAAAATCATAAATAAAAGACTAAAGAATTGCTATGACAAGTATTAACATGCTTTGTAAGGACTCTACACTAGGGAAATGACACAAGTTTCAGGGTATCTCCAAAAATAGTAATAATAGCATTTAACCACAAGTACTTCTTAGAACGTATTTGTTTCCTTTTTTTTAAAATGGAATCTTCTACATTCCACTAGATAATTAAACTGTGAATAAAAGTAGGCAAACGGGACTCCACAACAATAAGTTACAAGAGATGACAATGTGTGGTAACTACTCAAATAGTTTCAGAAACCCACACCAACTGACAGTGGCTTATAGAGAACTTGGCTAGCATGCAAGTAAAACAGAAAACCTTACAAGGAAACAGTTCCCAAACAAGGAAGGGCATCTATGTAAAGAAAAGTTCTAATGTACACATTGCTACATACTATCAACATATCAGCAACGCTACAAAACAGATCTGGAGAACAAGGAGCAGCAGCTCTGGAAGAGTTAGAAACCAGCAATCAAATTTGATAAGTGGGATGGCAAGGCACACCCAAAGAAGACAAAGCCCAAGCAACACAGGCCTAGGGACAATGGCCAGAAGCCCAGGCCAGCAGAGAAAACTGTACCAACAGGAGCAGGTCTATAAACAAATCAGGCACTCCAAAGATCTCTGCAAAAACACAAACCAACAGCTCAAACCATCCCAGAACAAAGCCCAAGTCTGAGCTTAAATAGAGCCTGGGGCTCATGGGCAGAGGCGTGGCTGGGCAGCCCAGGTAAACGTGGTCACGGTAATTAAGGCCCATCAGATTCTGAGTCCTTAGAGGGCTTGGGAACAAAAATATTGAAACAAAAGGAAGCAAAAACAAGTGCATCAAAGGCTTTTAACATAATTAAGCACTGAGCTCCCCTCCTAAAAGCTGATTGTTTCCCATGATAACACAAATGGATTAATTGCTAATGCATTTACCTAATTTTACAGTCTCCAAAGGGAAGGGATTTCAAATTTCACAAAAATTCTTTAAATAAGGGCATTGAACCTAACCATAAAAAACAATTATTGGGAACCAAAGCCAAGTGGAGTGAGCAAAACAAGTACCTGAAAAAAATAATAACCTGAGTGCAGGTGAGGCTGGCCAAGGTAATACAGATGTTTCACATACATCTTATTCTTAATTACTCTAATTAGCTGCTGATTTAGTATTTAGTCTTTGTGCTACTTCTATATTAAAATATTTGTTCAGAGATCAATGTATTTAATTGACTCCTATCAATAAAAATTGTAAATTACCTGATCTTGCTGGAGTTTTTAAGTTAAGATTCAATGACATTCCTGCTCTAAAAATCATTCTAAGCAATAGTCTAACATGAATACTCTGTGGCTGTGCAAGGAAGAGATAACAGCTGTTCTGAAGAAAGTACCATGGCCAATGACAAAACCTGAAAAAGATAAAAAAGAAAACCTACCTATCTGACTTGAAGGAAAGGAGTGAAAAAAGTACAACACATAGCTGTGGTGTGGAGGAAGGGAAGGGTAAAAAAATGGTTAAACATTTTTCAGACTAAGTTCTAGGTAGGAAAACAGACCTACTGAACAACCAGCTTCAGATCTAAAGCCTTTGAGTTCTGCTCCTGCTCAAAAGCAGGCACTGCAAGGATCCCAGAGTGTCTGGGTACAATCTTTAGACAGTTCTCAGTGGATTCTTGGAATGTAGGAATGTTCCTTCAAGGTAGAGAGAATTCCTAGAAATTCTTCAAGAAAGACTTCCTAGAAGGCACAGAGGAGATTCCTGGATGCACCTGGAAAATTCCTAGAAAACATGGGGCAAACACCAGACAAACTCCTAGGATACACTCAGAAAATACCTAGAAAACAGAAGAGAAAATAGAACATTTCTAGGAATCATTGGCAGAAATTCCTACAAAGCAAGGAAAGAAAACTTTCAGAAAGCACCATGAAAATTTCTATCAAGCCTAAAAAGAAATTGTGAAAATTCCATAATAGCACAAGGGAAATTCCCAGACACTACAGTGGGAATTCCTTGAAAGCATTTGGGAATATTCCTAGGAAGCACTGGGAAAAGCCCTAGAAAGGTGCAAGACCATTCTACATAAACCTACATGGTTTATGTAGAATGAAATTCTACATGAAGTTCTACAGATCTAACATGAACCATGTGATGGATTTCCTCCTTTTCTTTGTTTTGAACAAAGGTCTGAGTAGCATCAGTTGTTCTGGCATTGGAAGAGACCTTTAAAACTGGCATTTCCAATCCAAATTACAATTTTGCAAACCTCTTACACGGCCACCTCAAAGTTTTTCTCCTGTCTTGAGGAGACACAACCTACTTTTAGTCATTTCCTAGATTTAAACCATTCCATACCTTTGATAATTCTTCCTACCTTCTCTGAACCTTTCCCAGTTCTAATATGTATTTTGAGGACACGAGAAGTATAGGGATACCACAAACACAATGGGATTGGGACAGTTTTTGTTATATTCTTGGTTCCTTTTTAAATTAAGGCTAACAAATTATTTGCTTTTTGCACATCAAGCAGTGAGCTGACATTTCCATGGAATCATCTATCCTGATGCTATAAAAGTGACCCTTCCCTTTGACTGTTCTTCCCTTTCTTCCCTTTGTTCTCATAGCTGTATACTGAATTTAACATGCCACTTTGCTGCTAAGTGCCTCAGGTTTGTATGGCCCTTCTCTAATTCTCAGCCAATCCACTCTCATTTCTATACCGAACACAACACAAGGATTTAACTTTTACATATCCAAAAGAAGATTTAGTGAACCACTGGATTTTACATTTTGCTGAAACAGATAACCAAGCATCCCTAGGCAGTAATGAAAAGGTGTTATAGACAAACACTGACAAATTGAAAAATGTACCCTGTTAAATTACCTGTCCATTCTCCCTTCTTTGAAAAGCTTTCACCCCAAAGTTTCAAGAGAAGGGAATGTGCAGTTGGGACCCCAGTTACTCCCAAAGAAATGTAGAGCCTGAGCATAAAATCCTCTCCTTGGCAACTTAAGGGAGTTTCCCCTGGCAGGCTGCAGGTGCAGGCACACATTTTCCTGATGCACCTGCCAGGATGGCAATGACTTCTGCTAGAGATGCACACCAGTGGTGTCCACCCAAGGTGCAGTGACTTCACCAGAGCTTCTGTCAGCAGGCAGAGATTTCCACACTGTGAGGCCTGGCCTGACCCACCCCCTGGGCCTTGCCCATCCAGATTCCTGACTGCAATGGAACTTTTTCCATGTAAAGATACAAGACTGGATGCTCACTAGAAAATTAAGTAAACACATTGAGGGTGGCCCTCCCAGAAAGACATGCAGACATACAAAATGTCTTTCCATTCCATTTTTAAGCATGTCTTTACTATTTATTTATGAGCTTTTTTTATAACAAAGCCTGGTGTTTGAAATGTGCAATATCTGGCCTAAGTGTAACAGAGAACTTATACTTAGTCAAAGAACCTCCACAAATACAAAAATCCCACCCTAAAGAATATACATGCCAGCTACTCATTTTGAACAATCCTTATTTGATTAATAAACAATCAGGCCACGTCTTCAAATCCATCTACCACGAAAAAAGACCGTGTTAAAAACACAGTTAACTTGTCAATTTAAAATGAAAATTTCCATTCCAGCAATAGATAGGGTAAAACCTAAAAAAAGAATCAGTTTAATATTTTATTTACTTTGTATGCAGGGAATTGTTGTAACAAGACAATTATTTTATTTCTTGAGTTATAATAATTGGGAATTTTGAACATTAGTCCACCAAAACCCACTACATATATAAAGGGAAAAAGAACCCAATGTTATTTCTTTTTAGAACCGTTAATAATTGTATGTTCTCCTGTAAAAGAAGTTAGTCTGGTGCACTAAATATGGAAAAAAAAACCCAAAAAAACAAAAAAAAAGGAACATGATTCCCTAGAAATAGAGAGCAACAAGCCCAACAAGAAAAAGTAATGAAGCTGAAAATTATCTGAACATTGACTGTGCCAGTTTCAGTTTTTCAGTTTTGTATTAGAAATGGAGTGAAGACAATGCTGGATAGTATCTGATTTCTCCAAGAACTGATGATTACTCCCTCCAAATTATCAGATCTGAAAGGAGAAATACAGCCATTCTTGAAGATCAGCTGCCATCTAGTGAACAGTGAGAAAACTGTTTAAAACATTACTTTCAAGTTTTTGTCAATTTAAACTAGATTCTTGGAGGAATATTGTTTGCCACTTTGTAAATTTTGGGATCTGTAAATTATTCAGGAGCATGGCTACTAAAAAGGATGCATTTGACATGAGGGCAATGTCACTCAGCAAACTTTTCTAAGAAAATATATGAATAATATACATGTGATTCCACAATTTGTTCAAAATAAGCCAATCCTCTGTCTTTCAATAGGACATAGTAGGTTTTTGGGACCTTCACTATACTAAAAAGAACTAAACTATCAGTGTCTTAAAGTAAAATAATCAGTGTTACAGCAATAAAATACAGTAAAAACTTAAAGAAGTTTAAGTAAAAATTTACTGAAATGTGTTCATCAAGCAACAATAGCAGAGTTTTGACATTGGACACTAACTTTTGTCACCTTGTTACTTAAGATTAGATTTGCAGGTGTTTTCCTTCTCATAAGAAATCAGATATTCCAGATACAATAAGTCTGTTAGAGGGAACCACTATATATGAATATAAACCACAGAACTCATTGCAAATATTCAATTTTCCATACTTTCCTTTCCTAAACACAACTTTCTAAAACCAAGCAGGGAGTCTACCACTTACAGTTTGAAACTCTGAAACAGAAATCTGCCATTTTAAACAGAGTATGTTTTTTGTTTAATCCAGTATGTACTTGAGGGCACTCATGTTTATGAGAACCTTTGATGGAAAGAAATAAAACAAGAGAACATGTTTATAAGACATTGGCTTGAAAATACATTTGCCTTCTTGGAAGGAAAGCTGCTTATAATCTTTTGTCTGTACATTCTCTGGACAGACATTAGTAAGTCCTACACCAAATACCTGGTAAGTCTAAATATTCCAGATGAGCATATTCCATGTAAACATTTGTGTATGTGTGCAGTACAGAACCGTGCCATGAAAAGAAAGATTAAGTAGATATCCAGGAGTAGAGGAATAGAAAATAAACACTGAAATGAGAAAATTTGGTCATGAATTGAAAGGAAGTCTATTACAGGTCCTTTTGCATATAATTAGGCTTAAAGAGAAGGCTTGCTGCTTTTCACACTACACAGCCCTACAAAATTTTGTGAGCTCCTATTCAGCATTTAGAATTATTATGAACTGGTTCTCTTAACACTGCCTGCTTTTATTAATATGGCTTACTTGTGTAGAGCCTTGGTTCAATAAGGCATGTGATTAACCAGGACACCATCACAAAGGTTTTCTTACACTGTCCCTCCTGACACCTTCAGGATACAATGCAGGACAGTTTGTAATTGTGCTGTAAACCCCCTTCTCTGGGTTTTCTGTGAATTTAACTGTGTCAGACTGGCATCAAGCACTTGAGATCCCAATTCTTGTATGTCTGTGGTCTCCAAGTCTGTGTGTAATCAGCACATATGACTTTATTTAAAACAAAGCTACTTTCCAGAATAAAACTATGCACATACTAAATTTTATCTTGTAGCCCACAACGCTGACAGACCTCCTGGAAAGATTTTATAAAAGCATCGCACAATTCATGGCACAATCTAAGAAGGTGGGGGACCAAAACTTTTCTTAAATGCTGACTAAGCATTTGTCAGAGCACATACTGCTACAGGTTTACCAAGTGTTGAATTTGTTTCTGTGTCTTAATTACTTGTATCAACAGTGTCTCAAGGCAAT